CCTGGGCTCTCACACACAAACGGCAGCTCTGATGGTCCCCACACTTGAGGGGCGCAGGCCAGGTGTGTCCTTCTGCTGCGGGACTAGGGTCCCCACATTGCAGCCGCCGTGCCTCTCAGGGCTCCCGCCCACTCCATTCCCTGGGAATGTCTTAGCGTTCCCCCCATTCTCCATCATCAGCCATCCAGGAAGGGAAGCAGCATGGGGCTCACTGAAACCTCCATGTATTTTTTTAAAAGATAATTATTTTTATTTTTAATGATTTTTTATTTTGATGATAGTTGATTAGGGTGCAAAAGGTCAAGGAGTACAGGAAGGTGGGTGAGTCCATTATTTCACGTTCCCTTTTTCCTTCCTGCATCTGGGGGAAGAGGGGAGATAAGAGAAGTCACACCCAGGCCGCCATGACTCTTAGAACTGCCTGGTTCCTGCTCCCCCTGTACCCCCTTGCCCCAGGATGTCTTAGTGCCCCCGACATTCCTCACCGTCAGCCTCGGCACATCCCTGAAGGGAGGCAGCACGGGGCTAGGGTGGGGCGTCCTGGAGACCAGCTCTGTGCTGCAGGGCTGGAGGACACGAAAGGCAGAGCCCTGGCTGCCCAAGCCCAGCTGTTCCAGTGGCCCAGCACAAAGTGTGCTGATGCCAGCAGGAAGTGGGTGCAGGGGTGTGGGCAGGAGGGGATAACCAGGGAAGGGTGTGTCTTGGAGCATTCTAGAAACAGCAGGCGAGATTCGGGCATTCAGGAAACACGCTTGGAAGAAGGCCCTTCAGCTCCTCGGGAGGTGCCCGGAGACTGGGGACGCTAAGAGCTCCGAGGTGACCAGGGATTGGGGTGATCAGACACTGGGGTGATCAGAAACTGGGGTGATCAGACACTAAGTGATTAGATACTGTGGTGATTAGACTGGGGTGATCACACACTGGGGTGATCAGACACTGGGGTGATCAGATACTGGGGTGATCAGAGACTGGGCTGATCAAACACTGGATGATTAGATACTGGGGTGATCAGAAACTGGGGTGATCATATACTGGGTGATTAGATACTGTGGTGATTAGACTGGGGTGATCAGAACTTGGGGTGATCAGACACTGGCATGATCAGAGACTGGGTGGTTAGATACTGGGGTGATCACACACGGGGGCGATCAGTGTCACAATTGATTGGACCGAGCACGAGAAGACGCTTTACAGAGAAATGGATTTACTGCTCTACCCTGCAGCCGTCCTGCACACTTGCAGGTTGATGTGCTGTGTTTAGGAATATACAGCCTTTCGTAAACTCAGAGCCAAGCTGTCCTTTTTAATCATCTTGGGTGAAACTGGCAGGTTCTGGAATTGTTTTTCTTAGGTTAACTGACACTGTGAGAGCCAGGAAGACATGAACACAGAAACTTGGTATGCTTTGATCCGCTGTGTGCAACCGGAGGAAGGATAGCACGGGAACTCCTTCTGTCGTTTGTGACCGAAGGGAGGCTCGCAGGCAAGATGGTCTGCTCCAGGTGTTCCTGGCTTGTGCTAAGTTGCCCTGTCCTCTGATGCACTCAGCTCCTCAGTCAGAGTGTGGGGACGCCCTAAGACTGGGGTCTGGGGTGGAACGGGCAGTCCTAGCGAGGCTGCACAGTGTCCCAGGACCGGGGTCGCCTCAAACCCTGGGTCTGCACGCCGGAGTCGTGTGGGAGGTCAGGACCTCTGGCCATCCCTGCAGCGTGGACTGCCAGGGTGCCAGCTCGTCTCAGTGACCTCGCATGGTGTAACTCGTGTAGATCTTTGCTCAGGCCTGACATCCAGTTGATATTTAACCAGCAAATTTGGATCTAGGAGGTGAATGGCCGCCTGGTGCCCACACAGCCCCCCAGATAAGAGCCTGGGTTGAGGGCAAGCAGCCTGGTTTACATCTGGCAGTGGGCTTGCTGGGTCGTTGGATGGCTCTTTCAAAAATTGCTTATTATCATATCATGCTTTTGCCTTACTGGGATGTGGTACAGCCTTTGAACATATTTTTTAAATTGTTTGATTTGTACAGTAACTGCACAGGTTTGATTTGTAACACGACCTGGAAGCAGCTCTCGCCGGCTCCAGCTCTGCTCTCTGCCGGGTTTCGGCCCTCCTGCCTCCAGTCCCGCCTGCACCGTGTCCATCGGGGTGACGCAGAAAGCCTACAAGGTGTCCAGCTCTGGCCCCCGGGCCCTCAGAGGCTGCTCGTACAGGAGCGTGCCTGGTGCTCACATCAACTCCTCCAGCTTCTCCCGAGTGGGCAGTGGCTTCCGGGGTGCCAGTGTGGGTTTAGGGGCTGGAGCAGGTGGGGTGGGGGCATCATGGCAGTCACCGTGAACCAGAGCTGGTAAGCCCCTGAAACTGGAGGTGGACCCCGACATCCAGGCCATGCACACCCAGGAGAAGGAGCAGACCAAGCAGCTCAACAACAAGTTCACCTCCGTCATTGACAAGGTGCAGTCTCCTGCAGCAGCAGAACGAGGCGCTGGAGACCACGTGGAGCCTCCTGCAGCAACAGAACGAGGCGCTGGAGACCACGTGGAGCCTCCTACAGCAGCGGAAGACGGCTCGCAGCAGCATGGACAGCTTGCTCGAGAGTTACACCAACAGTCTGCGGTGGCCGCTGGGCACGCTGGGCCGGGAGAAGCTGAAGCTGGAGGCAGAGCTGGGCAACATGCAGGGACGAGGTCAACAAGCATGCCGAGCTGGACATTGGGTTTGTCCTCCTCAAGAAGGATATGAATGTGGCCCCGGCACAGTGGCCTGGCAGCTAAAGTCCTTGCCTTGAACGCGCCGGGATCCCATGTGGGCGCTGATTCTAATCCCGGCAGCACTGCTTCCCATCCAGCTCCCTGCCTGTGGCCTGGGAAAGCAGTGGAGGACGGCCCAAAGCCTTGGGAGCCTGCATCTGCAAGGGAGACCCAGAAGAAACTCCTGGCACTTGGCTTTGGATAGGCGCAGCTCCGGCCATTGTGCTCACTTGGGGAGTGAGTCATCGGACAGAAGATCTTCCTCTGTCTCTCCACCTCTCTATATATCTCACTTTCTAATAAAATATCTTTAAAACAAAAAGGAAGAAGGATATGGGTGAAGCTTATTTGAACAAGGCCAGGCTGGAGTCTTGCCTGGAGGGGCTGACAAGATCAACTTCCTCAAGCAGCTGTACAAGGAGGAGATCCTGGAGCTGCGGGCCCAGGTCTCCGACACATCCGTGGTCCTCTCCTTGGACAACAGCTGCAGCCTGGACATGGGCAGCAGCATCTGCGAGGTGCGTGCCCAGTACAAGGAGATGGCCAACCGCAGCGGCGCCGAGGGCATGTACCAGGTCCGGTGTGAGGCAGGCTGGCAAGCACAGCGATGACTTGCGTTGCGCGAAGACGGAGCTCTCCGAGATGACCCGGAACATCAGCCGCAGCCAAGCTGAGACTAGGGTCTCCAAGGCAGAGGGTGAGCCTGGAGGCCGCCAGAGCCGACAGGGAGCAGTGTGGGGAGAGGGCCCTCAAGGACGCCAACGGCAAGCTGGCCGAGCTGGAGCCCGTCCTGCAGTGGCCAAGCAGAACATGGTGTGGCAGCTGCGGGGACTCCAGGAGCTCATGAACATGTTTGGTTTGCACAGGAATCGCATGCAAGAGCTGCAGGGTGACATTCAGCTCGGGCAGCCGGGGTGTGCTGACCAATCAGGGTGGGGGCTGCCCTTCAGGGGCAGCACTTCCTGTAGGAGGCATGGGGCTCCTTCTGTTAGACCACAGGACATGCGCTGGGTTACTGTGAGCTGCGGTCTGCCCACTGTGCCACAGAACACCAGGCTCCTTTGACCCAGCTCTGATCTGGTGCCCATTTGCCAAACTCTCGCTCTGCCCCACCCCTCCCCACCTCCAGCGATCCCTGCTCTGTGCTGGCATGTCATGGTTTCCTTAGCTCCCACCCCTGGGGGAGGACATGACGTGTGTGTCTCCCTGTGGCTGACTTCATGCGACGTAAAGTCGTGACGTAGTCCTCCCACTCCTCTCCTGCTGTGAATGTTGCAATTTCCTGCCTTTCCTCCATGCGTCCTGTGTCCTCCAGCCCACGATGGACACCTCGGCTGACTGTGTCCTGGCTGCGTGATCTGGCGCTGTGATGGACGTGGCGGGCAGGTGTCTCCCTGATCCAGTGTATTCATGTATTTGTGCATGAGCCCTGGGCAGTGGGCCTGCTGGGCCACAGGGCAGTTCTGCCTCTTGTTCTTGAAAGGATTCCTACAAATGGCTGCGCTGGCTCACACCCACGGAAAATAGGTGTAGTTGGAAAACAGCTGCAGGATTCCGTGGCAGTGGCTGTTCTGGCCCACCCACCACCATGCTTGGTGTCTCTGCGTTCCCGACAGTCCGCCCCCACAGCGGGGCAGTGAGTGTGCTGCCCACCTGCCAACTGCACTTGGTACTAAAAAATGGGTTCAGAGTGCTGCCCACTTGCTGGCTGCACCAGGTACTAGCACTGGGTTCGCATGCTGCCCGCCTGCCAGCTGCAACAGATATGACACTGGGTTCCAATGCTGCTCACCTGCTGGCTGCACCAGGTACTAGCACTGGGTCCAGTGAGCTGCCCGCCTGCTGGCTGCACCAGGTACTAGCACTGGGTCCAGCGAGCTGCCCGCCTGCTGGCTGCACCGGGTACTAGCACTGGGTCCAGCGAGCTGCCTGCCTGCTGGCTGTACTCTGGGTACTAGCACTGGGTACTAGCACTGGGTCCAGCGAGCTGCCCGCCTGCTGGCTGCACTGGGTACTAGCACTGGGTCCAGCGAGCTGCCTGCCTGCTGGCTGTACTCTGGGTACTAGCACTGGGTACTAGCACTGGGTCCAGCGAGCTGCCCGCCTCCTGGCTGCACCAGGTACTAGCACTGGGTCTAGCGAGCTGCCTGCCTGCTGGCTGCACCAGGTACTAGCACTGGGTCCAGCGAGCTGCCTGCCTGCTGGCTGCACCAAGTACTAGCACTGGGTACTAGCACTGGGTCCAGCGAGCTGCCTGCCTGCTGCTTCCCACCACAGACCCACACCATCAGCACTTGCAAGCGGATGTTCTGCTTCTACTTTAATCATGAGGAAACGAACATTTTGAGTGTCACAATGCCCCGCCCCAGAGCAGAGGGTGTGCGAACCCACGTCAGCCTGTGACCTGGCCTTCACAGCACCTTATCCCACGGACTCAGAGCAAGGTGGGCACCTCGGGGCCGAGCTGGGTCTGCTGGGAGCGTGTACGCAGGAGGCCTCTCCAGAAATCTGGTCAGCAGGGAGAGGAAGAGGACAGCCGCCCCTCCTCTCGGACGGAGCTGGTAGTGCTAAAACCTGGGACGCGGCCAGCACCCTGTTGTGGCCATGATCCCTCAGCCCGCCATCCTCCTGGGCCTCGGTAAGTCCTGCAGGAAGGCCGGTGGGGCTAGGCGGAAGGGCTGAGGCCGCCTCCAGTCTGGGAGACTCTGGAAGTACCCCTGGCCGCCCCTTCACCCTCCCCCCCGCCCCAGTCCTGGAGTTGGGACAGGGCCAGCATGGACCCAGGCTGAGCTCAGACGGTGATGGGGGGTTCCGGGGCTCCCCGTGAGGGGCAGCCCAGCACGGTGTCCCCTCAGAGACCCTTTCCTTGCAGGGCTGTGCTTGGGCCAGCTGACCCACCAGCAGTCAGGTGAGTGCCCTGGGGAGCCAGGGCGGGGCCTGGGAGGGAGACCGGACACCAGTCTAGCGGACTGAGAGGTGTTTATTTTGGTACCAAAAAATGTTGTGGAAATTCACACCTAGCCTGCATGAATCTCCTGATGCGTATTCTCTGTGGACCTCCCTGCACCCCAAGTTACAAAATCCCCATTTGGGTGTCTCTACCCAGATCTCTACCTCATTTGTCACCTCCTAAGTCTTTTAAAAGTTACTGACGAGTCGCGGTGTGCCTGTGTAGGGGTGCAGTGCTTTGTGGACCAGCTAATTCAGGCCAGTGCACTTGCTGCTGTTTCTTGTGGCGGGGACACGTAGCTCAGTAGTTTGGAGATGTCTGAGTGTGTCAGCTGTGGTCCCTGCGCTGCGTGGCAGGCCTCGCGGATCGCTGCGGTGTGGCTGCCAGGTGGTGTGTTTGGGCAGCACCTGTCCATCCACGCCCACGCCCCCCGCTGACCGCCGCCCACCTCTGAGAGCTCCTCCTCGTTGGTCCTGCTGCCTCCAGCTTTTCCAGTTGGACCTGGCGTCCGCTGGTTCCCTCCGTGCGCTGAATGGCTGGGTTGGGTCTGTGTCTGAGGCCGGGAAGGGCCCCCACTGTGCACCTGCCACAGGCCCCATCCTCTTCCCACCCAGCTCCTGATGCCCACGTGTGGATTCTGTATCATGGCCATGGCAAACATGCTGCAGGCAGCATGCCAGGGCAAGCATCACTTTGATGCAGATTTCCACACACACAGTTCTGATCCCACATGACCGAGGCTGACCCCAGAGCTGCCCAGCAAGGTCTTGGCTGGCCTGAGCTGTCATCCTGGTCCCCTCCTGCTCCCCACCCTTCAGGTCCCCAAGCCTGGGCTCCCCTCTCAACTGCTTCTCCCCGCTGCCCGCAATCACAGCCCTGGCCTGTCCGCAGCAGCTGTCACGCCCACGGCCCCCGCCCCGGTGGCCCTCAGCACCTGTGGACTGCTGCTTGCAGAATAACAGCAGGCTTGCTTCTCTTCCACCAGCTGAGCACTCTTATCTTGAAACTTTCCTTTTTAAACTCTTGCCTGGCCCTCTCAGCCTGATGGACTTCTGCCAGCCCGGCCACATCCTGTCGCCCGTTGCTGTATCTGCCAGCATCGCTGTGTCCGCCAATGCTGTGTCTGCTTTCACTTTCTCAGAGACACCTGCTGTGCTCAGCCCCGCGCCGCCTCACACCATAATTAGTCAACTCAATGAAAATCAGAAAAATGGGGCTGGTGGGGGAGATCCCACCTGCTAATTCACCCCCAAAGGCGTGCAGGGGCCCCTGGCCAGGGTAAAGCCAGGAGCCGAGGCAGGTGGTTGGAGCCCAGGCAGGTGGTTGGAGCCCAGGCAGGTGTTGGAGCCCAGGCAGGTGTTGGAGCCCAGGCACCTGAGCTGTGTGCCGGTGTCTGTGTGGAGAGAGGAGCCGGAGGCAGTGGTGGATCCAGGCTCCCTGCTGTGGGCTGTGGGTGCCCGACCTGCCAGGCCTGTGTGCGTGTTCCTGACGCTGTGCAGTGTGCTGGCTGAGCCCTGCTCATCAGCTGTGACAGAACCTCACAGGCTCATGGCTTCTGGTGGTCCCATGGCACAGCCCACATCTCTCCGTCCCATCCTCCTGACAAACAGCCACACACTCTACCTGCTCCCAGGGGCAGTAGGGTTGCCCCTTGCCTCTGCCCTGCCTCTGCCCTCCCTCTCAGGGCATTTAGCAGAGTTGGGAGCTGCAGTTGGCAGTGGGTGGGGTGACTCCATCGACACCCCCAGAAGGCAGGTGGTGGCTGTGTGCCTGGTGTTTGTGGGGTCTTGAACATGGACAACCAACATCGCCACACGAGGGCAGAAAGGACAGAGGGGAGGGGCTCGGAATGCCGGTCACGGCCGCCGAGGTTCAGTGAGTCAGGAGGGCCGGGCTGTGAGAGCCACAGCACCGCACGCGAGGAGCGGGCACCGCGTGCGGGAAACCGCTCTGCTCCCTGCAAAAGGTGAGTAAGCGGGTGGAAGGCCGCGACAGAGCCGTCCCGTGCTGCCTTCATGCGTGTGAACACGTGCCGTGTCGTGTCTGATGGATGTGGGGTGACAGCACGTTTTGCGGGGTGCAGGGTGACACCATCATTGTCACTGATCATGTCTGTCACTCAGGACAATGAAGGAATGACGCACGCATGTGTGCACTGAGAGCCTGCAGCGGGGGCTTTGCTGGCTGTGGCACGGCCTTCCTGTTTCGGACCCTCTGGTCCAGCCCTCCCCCATCCTCCACCCAGCCTGGATGGGGAAGAGGAGGCTGGGCAGGAGTGGAGGACACAGGGAGAAAGCCCACACCCCACAGGGGAGCTGCCCGCGGCGGGATCTGCCTGGTCTCTCGCCTGCACTCAGGGGTCCCCTGGATGGACCAGCACCTGCTGCTTCAGCCAGGGCCACTCCTGACCCCTGTACACTCCATGCTTCCCTGTCCCCCAAGATGACCTGGCCACCCCAGGCTGTGATACCCCCAGAAGGGTCAGATCAAGGCCCAAGGTGGGGCTGTCTCGGGGTCCTTGCTGTCAAAGGCGGGGTGACCACAACAGCAGGTGGGATGTGCCCCAAGCAGTGGCTGCAGTGCTGTAAGTGGGGCTGCGAGGAGGCTGCATGGCAATGCTGTTGCTTAGCAAACCTCTTTCCGTGTTAACGGAGCTTGGTGGTATGGCTGCCTCTGAGTGGGCACTGAGCTCCCGTCTGCTTCCTCCAGAGGCCTGGCCCAAGCCGTCCATCTCCGCCGAGCCGGGGCAGACCATCCACCTGGGGCAGAACATGACCTTCGTGTGCCGGAGTCCTCGATTGTTCAGCGTCTTCCGCCTGCAGAAAGATAGCAAGATTGTCATCAAGGATGAGAAGAACACTTCACTCAACCAGACCGAGATGCGGTTCCCCATGGGCCCAGTGAAGGCCAGCATGGCCGGGCAGTACCGCTGTATCTATGTTACTTCAAGTGGCTGGTCTGACTACAGTGAAGAGCTGGAGCTGGTGGTAACCGCTGAGGAGGTCACCCAGGCCTCCGACCCCGACCCGGCTCTGCCCTCAGGTCTGTGTCAGGCCCTGGGCCCATCCTAGGACCGCCCTCTGTCCCTGGTTTCTGCCATGCCCTGGCCCCCCTCCCTGCCCTGCACACACACACACACACACACACACACACACACACACACACACACACACAGGCTCCTTCTGCCCCACAGTCTGGCTGGGCAGAGGGAATGGAGGCCTACTCTCCCTACTGCCCCCAGCAAAATGGGGCAGGGTCTCTTCCCTGGCTCCCTCCCCCTGCCCTGTGTCCCCAAGAGCCAGGCCTTGTCCAGGCCCACTGCTGGCCAGATGTGCTTTTTGCATGGGTGTCAGGGGCGGACCAGGACCAGCGTGCGTGGGATGGGCCCAGCAGCCCTGAGCTAAGCTCTCGGGCCTTCTCTGCCCTGTCTGTGGAGTCCTGCCCAGCCAGCTCCAGGAGGACATAGGGAGGGAGGGCCGGCCCGAATGCTCAGCACCTGTAGGAGGGAGGTGGCGAGGGCTTGGAGGGTGGAGGGCACCCAGGCCCCTGCAGGCTGGCTGCAGACCCTCGGGCAGCAGGGCAGGTCCAGGTTCCAGCGGGGTGGGGACTGCTGTGAGGGGAGGAGGGGTCAGACTTAGATGGCTGTGCTGGGCAGGACGGCGGGCGGGGGCTCCAGAGGAAGCCAGCAAGGGGAGTCCTGCTCCGCCTTCCTGTCCACAGGCCAGGCATGGTGGGCAGTGTCGTCCAGTGCGGCTTCCTGTGTGAAGGGCAGGTGCTGCCCACAGCAGGTGCCATCAACCAGTGACCACTGAGCCCAGGAAGTGTGGCCAGTGAGACAGGGTTTGGACTCTGAAAAAATGTTATTTATTTCCATCTACTAGAAAAGCCAAAAAAATGAGAGTCAGCACTGTGGGATGGTAGGTTAAGCTGATGTCTGTAGCACTGGCATCCCATAGGGGTGCCGGTTCGTGCCCCATCTGCTCCACTTCCCACCCAGCTCCCTGCCTGTGGCCTGGAAGAGCAGTCAAGGACAGCCCAAAGCCTTGGGACCCTGCACCTATGTGGGAGACCCGGAAGAGGCTCCTGGCTCCTGGCTTTGGCTGCTTGGGGAGTGACCCATCAGATACACATATTCTCTTTCCTCTCTCCTTCCCTTCTCTGTCATTCTGCCTTTGACATAAATAATAAAACAGAGGGAGGAGAGTGATCCAACTTCCATTTGCTGACGAACAGCCAGAGCTGAGCCAGCCCAAAGCCAGGAGCCCAGGACTCCATCTGGGTCCCCACACAGGTACAGGGTCCCGAGGACTTGGGTCACCCCCAGGTGCCTCCCCAGGCCACAAGCGAAGAGCTGGATGGGAAACGGAGTGTGTTAGCTCAGACCTGGCTCTGCAGCGGGGAGAGGTGAGGGGTGCCGTGAGAAGCAGCAGCTGAGGCCCGTCCCTTTCTAGGCATGCCTGCCCCAGGCCCTGCCCCAGGCCCTGGCCCAGGACTCCTGTATGTCTTCGTGGGCGTTGCCGTGGTCTTGCTGCTGACCTGCCTGCCCCTCCTTCTCTTCTGCCTCCATCGCCATAGTCAGACAAAGCACGGTAGGTCCCGGGGTGTGGGTGGTCTGTGAGCGTGCCGGGATGCACCCCCTCTAACCCAGGCCCCCACTCTCCTTAGGCTCCCCAAGCAGCAAAGGTGAAGGATGGAAACCGCAGGAGAGGTGAGGTCCCTGGGACAGCCCTGCCCGCTAATCCTGGTCCCTGCACCCGGCCACCCTCAGCTCTTCATATTCTCTGCTTGCAGGCTCAGCTTGGACATGGAGGACTTAAAGACAACTCCAGGTAGAGGGCAGGGGGAGGACAGGCCTGGAGTGGGGGAAGTGGGGCAGCAGGGGTCTCAGCAGGGGAAGAGGAAGTTCTGGAACCTTCCAGGAGATTCCAGACCAGCTGTAGGATAAAGGCAAAAGCTGAGGTTTCAGGAAGACCTTCCTCCTGACCTCTACCCTGGAGAACTCACCGCACTGTCCTCTCCTGTCTAGACAGCGCCAAGGTTGACAGGCTTGCTGGGAAGGACGCACAGATGGATACGACCGTGAGTGTCCGCTGCCCAGGGATTAGCTCCGTCCCTAGCCTGCCCTGTGCACGGTGCCGCCCCCCACTGACCCGCCCCAGTCCACTCACTGTGCTGACCCCACCCCGTCCACGGCGCCACCCCCACTGCCCTGCCCCGTCCATGATGCCCCTCCCCCCACCTGCCCCAGTCCCCTCACAGTGCCACCCCAGCCCTGTCCCTCACGGTGCTGCCAAGCCCCTGGCACGCCCAACCCCACCCTGCTCCCAGCGCTGCCCCGCCCCTGGGGGACCCTCAGTTTCTCACCAAAGGGGCCCCTGTACCTGTCTTACTCAGAGGGAGGGATCCCAGCGGGCAGCACAGAAGCCCCACCTGGGAAGTCCTCGTGGGTCACAGGCCAGCAGGCAACACCCTGTGGGGGCCAGTGATTCAGGAGTGGGGGGCTCTGTCTTCACCTCCCCTAACTGGCCAGGGCCTTCTTTCCTCAGGTCCTGGCAGCGGGCAGTGGCCAGGATGTGACCTACGCTCAGCTGGACCAGCGGGCACTCATGCAGAGGGCGGCCCCTGCCATGGAACCCTCAGCCGAATCCAGCACGTATGCGACCCTTGCTAGATGTTGACCCTGCGCCTACAAGGTTCACGTGTCTGAGGCCGCTGAGGTGACCCATGTGGGCAGGCGTGTGGAGGGGTACGTCAGCTGGACATGCCTTGGAGGCCCCCTGACCAGGCACCTCAGTCCACTGTTACGCGGCTGCTTCCGGAGGCCCAGCTGTCACTGTCTGGCTGCTACAGGACCCTGCTGGGGCTCAGGGGACTCTGTGGGCAGTGTTGCCTTCTCCTGGCTACCCTCAGAGCTCTGCTCACTCTGTCAGCTGACCCCAGAGCCCTGCTGTGAGCCCCAGCCACCCAGGGGCATGCTCGCTCTGTCAACTGACCCCCGAGTCCGGCTGCTCCCAGCTCTGGCTCAAGCTCTACTTGGTGCATCAATAAATACATTGTGAGGTCTGGACAGAGGTCCCTGCGAGCCCCCAGGCCCTGCTGTGCTGGCATCCGTCGCCAGCACCCTGCCCACCCCAGGCTGAACGAGGTGGCATGGAAGGGGTGCCCCACCTATCCACACACAGGCACCCACATGCAGCGTGGACACATGTCTCGTACACGTGTCCAGAGAGCTCTGGGCCCAACATGGCCTGGGCGACCAGCGAGTTCCCACCAGACTAAACAGAACACTTACCTCAGCTGACCGCTGAGGGGGGAGGGTGTGTCATCGTGATCAATTTGGTAAATTTATGCTTTTCTCTTTTAAAATTGTTTTTATTTTAATATTTATTACAAAGAGGAAGGGATTGCAGAGCCAGCTGGGATGGAGAGGGAGGTGTGTGGGATACTTGTTTATTTCCCTCCTGTGTCCTGGGCAGCAAGGTGTGTCATTCCTCGCTGTCCCACCGCGTTGGTGCCTGGGGACAGACAGCCATGGGTTGCTTAAGTGGTCTCTATTGTTCTGAAAGGTTGTCTCATGGTTACACCAGAGGTGCCAGGTCTTTCTGAGGCCTGTTGGCTGCCCGTATGTACCTCCATGTACCCACAGACCTGGGTGCTGGCTGCAGAACCCGGCCTGGAGTGTTATTCAATCTGTTGTGCTTTCCATCTTTTGAGGAGCTACTGGAAGTCTGCTGTTGGCTTAGATGAGCTGGCTGTCTTTCCTGTTTGCCTGGGTGTACTCAGGGTGGCCCAGGGCTGCAGCACGTGCTCCAGGAACAGACCACACGTCAGATTTCCCTGAGGTTGGGGACCCAGTGTAGCAGTCAGTGGGAGAGCTCCTAAGAAGCCTTGTCTCAGAAGTCCTCAGACCTTGCTCTCACGTGTGCCAGCTGGTACAGGGTCAGGCTCTGTCTGCCCCCTTGCACAGCTAACCCATGTACCAATGGGCACAGCTGCCCGATCAGTCCCACCCCCAGCCCTGGCTCTCATGTGAACTGGCTCCTACAAGTACTGCCAGGCGCTATGGCCTAGTCAGGGGAACCTTGGAGAACTGCTTCCTGTACATTTCTTTAAAAAGGTACATTCTTAGTAACAACAAAAACTAGCTTTGTGTAATGTTACTTGCCATTTTTTGACAAAGGATCTCAAACAAGATAATGGGGAAAGTCCACATACCTGATACGAGGCGGGGATTTCAACACGTTCCTATTCATCTGAAGAATGCAAGAGCTCAGCCAGCTGCCCCGTGGGGCTTTGACCAGAGTGAGCCCCACAGCCTGCAGGACCCCACAGCTGCCCCCTCAGCTGGCCGCCTGGGCCTCCAACATTGGCCAGCTCTGGGGGAGGGGCTGGAAGCCCCGGGGTCACAGCTTTGAGCCTCCATCCTGGCCGTAGGGTGGGGGTCTGTGGCCTCTCCAACTCTGATTTATAGTGGGACTCTGTGTTAAGAGCGGAGTGTGACTCCTCCAGCCGTCCACCTGCTTGCGCCACTGCCTGCTCCATGACTGAGATTCTTGCACATTCTCTGTCTCCCTCTGTCGCCTGGCCAGTGCTGGGCAGCTTCCTGCGAGGCTCCAGAGGTGGGGCTGGCTGCACAAATGCATGGACAGTGCCTGGACCCTGGGGCCAGCTGAAGGAGGTGGCCAGGTGGGATGGAGGGGCCTGTGCATTTCACAGATGCCCAGGCCAGAAATGGGGCCGTATGCCCGGAGGAGGGCGCCTGGCAAGCCTCAGCCCAGGCTGAGACGGAACAGCCCCTCACAACAAAGCCTTGCGTGGAGCCAGACGACAGAGCCAGGCCCACTCAAAGCCACAGCCCATGTCTCGGGGTGTTGCGACAGGCAAGGACGGAGCCCCATGGCTGACCTGGGGACAGCTGCCCAGGGCGCAGGGAGGGCAGCAGCACTGTGGAGCTGGACAGAGCACCTTCCAGCGCCGGGCTTCACCCGCTGGCCGCCCGCTGCTGAGCTCTGGGGACTTGGGGGTGAGGAATTACTGCCTAGGGACATCCATGGATAAGGCCACCGTACATGTAGGGACACTGAGGGAGTCCCAACAACAGGGCCGCTGTGCTTGCAGGTCAGCGAGGGGACTGGGACCTGGTGGTTTGGAGGGGAGAGCCTGGAAGATCTCTATGGGTCAGCCTGATCCACCAGCCCACGTGGGAGTCCTGAGATGGGCTTGTTAGCACAGGGCATCGCTGACCGCCACACGCCGGCCCACACGAAAGCTAGGGCTGGGGGCCTGTCTAGCAGGGCTAGATCCCAGTACCTGAGTGTCAGAACAGGGGACAGGTCACCTTAGGCAAGTCCATGACACCAACCAGCATGCGAGAGAACCAGGTCCAGGGGTAGATTCTGCAGGGGATAAGTGGGCCCAACACTGTGGAAATACAATTCCCGCCGGTTAGCTTGAGTTGGGGTGGGGCCTGGTGCAGTAGCCTAGTAGCTAAAGTCCTTGCCTTGAATGTGCCAGGATACCATATGGGTTCCAGTTTTAATTCTAGTAGAAGCTTCCCATCCAGCTCCCTGCTTGTGGCCTGGGGAAGCAGTCAAGGACAACCCAGAGCCTTGGGACCCTGCACCTACGTGGGAAACCTGGAAGAGGTTCTGGGCCCTGGATTCGGATCGGCTCAATTCCAGCCATTGTGGCCATTTGGGGAGTGAATCAACAGATGGAAGATCTTCCTCTCTGTCTCTCCTCCTCTCTGTCTCTCCTCCTCTCTGTATATCTGACTTTCTAATAAAAATCAAATTAAATTTAAAAAAGAGTTGGGGTGGTGATGGGCTGAACTAGGTTATGGAGCTCTCTAACACTCACGGGTCCTGGGACTGAGAACAGACGGGCAGGTCCAGGCTGTAGCACCTGCATGTGCATCCTAAAACAGGGTGTGGGGCGGGCCGAGCCACAACGTCCTCCAGCCCATACAAGGGCCAAATGGAGGGGCAGGCTATGCCGCACGAGGGCCTAGCACCTGCTGGAGCATGTGAGATCTGGGTCTGGGACTGAACCAAGTGGGGGAACTTGAGGAACTCCCCTGCAGGGTCATAGCTCCCACTGGTGAGCATGTGGTCCAGACTTGAGGGTCAAGCAAGCTGGGCAAGGTAACTCCATCTGTTGGCAAGTGTGTGGTTTGGTTTTGGAAGGGGGCGGACCGTGCAGGGCTGAACAAACCTTAACTTAGCTCACTGTCAAGTGCAGAAGCCAGGCTGGAAAGCAGGTCATGCCGGGCTAGACTGTTACACCTGCCAGTTTGCATGAGCCAGGGACGGGAGCAGACTGAGCAGGGCCAGATGTCAGCACATGCCAGCGAGAGTTGGGACTGGAGGCAGGCTGGGGCAGGCCAGGCTGCAGCATCCAAAGGCAAAGGTCAAGATAGGGGAGGGGCTGTGCCAAGCTGGGTCAGAGCAACCACTGGGACACGTGAGAACTGTGGCTGGGAGCAGGCCTGGTTGGGGAGCTAAGGGGACACCCTGGGTGGGTTGTGGTTCCCACTGGGTACTCACAAGGTCCAGAGTAGGGGCTGTGGCAGGTCTGGATGTGGCTGTAGTGTCCCTTGGCACAAATGTGGTCTGGGGCTGGGGTGCACCAGACTGGGCCAGACTACAGCACGACTGGTACTCATGAGAACCAGGGTGGGTGTAGGACTGGCTGGGCTCGGTATCTGTCCCTGCTGAGCCATGTGTGAGCTGTGTCTGCATGTGGGCTAGGCTTGGCTGGGCTGTAACACCATCAGTAAAAACTGAAATGGGTGAGGGCCAGTCAGGAAAGGCCACTGTTCCTGCTAGGACAGGAGGTGGACTAAGTAGGGCTGGCCATGGATCCGCCGATGTGAGCGCGATCTGGCACGGGGCGAGGTTCTGATGGAGGAGCTTGGGCAACTCCTCTGTCAGGGCACAGTCCCTGCAAGTGGGCACAAGAACCATAATAGGGAGCAGCCCAGACCAGGCCAGGTAATGGTACCCAGCAGCATACGTTTGGCTCGGGGACGAACCAGGCTGGGTCAGTTCATATCCACTGGTGATTCCGAGAACCAGAAGAGAGTGTGCGTCGGGTCGGGTTGGGCTGCAACATGAGCCAGTTCACATGACTGGGGGCTGCTGGGCTGGGCTAGGCTGCAGCCCCCACCAGCGTGAGCTGGAATTGAGGGTAGGCCAGGCCCAGCCAGGCTATAGCACCCACTGACAGATGCTAAGGTGAGGTGGGCCATGCTAGACCGGGCTACAGTGTCCAGCTAGTACACGTGAGACCAGGGGTGAGGGGGTGAACCTGGTAGGGAGGAAGTGTGGGGCTCCCCTGCTGGACCACCACTCCCCTGGACAGTGTGAGAGCTGGGCTGGGAGCAGACCAACCCAGGCAGGGCTACAACACCTGTTGGCCTCATGTGAGCTGGATCAGGGGAAAGCCAGGCTGGGTTAACTGTTCCAACTGGTGCATACGCAAGCCAGAGTGGGTGAGGGTTGGCTGAGCTTTGCTGCAACATCAGCTGGCAGAGGTTGGCACAAGGAGCAAATTCTGTCAAACTGCAGAACCACCTGGAGAGTGCAAGGTCCAGGAGTGGGGGTGGCACGGGAGGGAAACAGTGGGCACCTCCCTCTTGGGTTGCCACTCTGACTGGCAAGCATGAGAACCAGGACTGGGGCAGGCATGGCTAGATAGAGAGTGGCACCCGTTGGCAGGTGTGTGGGCTGGAGAGTGAGGCTGCTTGGGTTGAACTGGGCTTCAGTGCCCATTGACATGCATGAGAGCTGAATGGGATGTGGGACAGACTTGACCAGTCTGCTGTACATACTGGCAAGTACGGGGACCAGGGCAGGGGGTGGGCCTGGTGGGGGTTGTTGCAAGTCACCCTGACTAGGCTGCAGCTCCCATTATTGTACGTAAAGGCCGAGTGTGTGGTGGGCAGGATCAGGCTGGGCTCCAACACCCACTGGTTTGCATGGAAGACAGGACTGGAGACAGAATTGAACCAGCAATTGCAACTACCAGTGTGTGTGACAGACTGTGCCAGAACCGGTATTGGCAAGCACACGTGAGTCAGGTCTGGGAACACCTCAGATGAAGTTTTTGTGGGGATCCCCATAACTGAATCACTGGACTCAGAGCCCCAACCATGGAGAGAATTTTAGTTTCCGTGGTCTGATCACGGAGTGCATATGTCAGAGCTGGCTCCCTCAGGGGCTCAGGTCAAGTAGTGGACAGCATATCCAGGGCACGTGGAGGATATGGCAGTACATAGGAGTCTGCAGAGGAGGCCTGGCACCACAACAGAGGATGGAGAACAGAACAAACTGATCAACTGCCCCAGCCAAGAGTTGGCAGTGAGTATCTGGGCAAATGGAGACTCTAAACTATATCAACCGCTGGATTCTAGAAGGATTTCATCATGCTTGAAGTGGCGAGAACAGCAATAATTCAGAACTGTTGAACTATCAAAACTTCTTGAGCAGGACCCTTGGAGTGTGCCCCACATCGGGGGCCCTGGCATGGCATCGGGTGGCTGTCCTCCATCCCAGGATATGGAGGCAGGTGGGAGGCTGGGTGTGGCTTCTCCCCTTGTCTCCCCTTACCCCCCTCCAGATACAGGAAGATTCAAAAAAGAGAGAGAGAGTGTGGAAATGATGGTCTCACCCTCTTCCTGGAGCCCTTGACCCTTTGCACCCTGATCAACTATGTACAAATCGTCAAAAATAAAAATAAAAGAAAGCACCACTGTGTCCTCGCACTGTGTGCTGTGCCCTGCAGGTGCGGCTTTCCTGGAGCTCCCGTGGAGGGCACTGAAGACGGGGCTGGGCCTGGACCACCTCACTTCCTGTGGGCTCTGGGTGACCAGCCCTGAGAGGAGGCCCTGTCAGTTCCTCCTACACGCTTCCGTCTCAAGCCTTATCCTCCATCAGCGACCACAGATTAGCTGAGAGGAAGGACCATGGCCCCCCGTTCCACGACACTTCTTGGCCTTGGTGAGTCCAGGCGTGTGTGTGTCAGGGGTCTGTGAGACGCAAAGCAGGAGGGAGATGGGCAGCCCCAGGCCCTGCTTCTGGTCCAGGATGTGCTGGACCCGGGCTGGGGCTCCCCTGTAGGCACCACTGAGCCTCAGCCAGCGGGGGTCTGGGGAGAGGCGGGTGGAGAGGGAGCGTTCAGTGTGTGGTGGGAGTCGATGATGTGGCAGGTGTGGTCGGGAGGGGCTGCGTCTGGCCGGCCTGGTTCCGGCTACAGAGAAAGGCAACTGCTTTCCTGCATCACGCTGGGTGGGGTGGTGGGGATGGCAGACAGACAGAATCAGACCCCGACCCCACAGTTTAGAGAAAGTGGGAGGTGGGCCTTTCCCTCACCGTGGGCATGTCTTCCAGTACTCTGCCTGGGCCAGACCGTCCGCTTCCAGATGGGTGAGTTGTGTCCCCAAGATCCCAGCGCTTGCAGTCCGGGGCAACAGTTACAAACGGGCCAGTGCTACTGTCCCATAAACCATGCCGCCATCACTTCCTCCTGGGTCATCAACCTCGGCTACACACCCTTGCTCTCCCCTCGCTTTGCCCCCATCTTGAGTTAGTTGTCACATCCTGTAGATTTTACCACCAAATCTCACATCCTTGTACATCTCCTGGTAGACACCCCCTCCCTGATCAGACTCCACTGAGGCCACACAGCCACTCCAGCAAGTGCAGAAGCTCTTGGCTGCCAGCATTGAGCTGATACAAAGTGGCTGCTGTTGCTCCGGCTGCCATCTCTGTGTCCAGACTGGAAGACAAGGAAAGGCAGACCCTCTGGGCGAAGCTGCTGCCCTTTCAAGCTCCCATCCTGGGACTGTCAGCAGCAAGGCTGTGTCCTGCTGGCCTGCACACGGACTCGCAGCTGTACAAGGTTGATCCAGGCGTTCCCAAGCGCACCTGGAAAAGCACACTCCAATTCCAAGGAGGAAGTGGGTATGGCTGTGGAGGCAGCAGGGTCATGTCTGTGACTTCCCATCTGCCCCTCACAGCAGGGACGGGCGACTTCCTCTGAGTGGGCACTGAGCTCCTGTCTGCTTCCTCCAGGGGCCAGGCCCAAGCCGTCCATCTCCGCTGAGCCGGGGCGGACCATCCCCCTGGGGCAGAACGTGACCTTCGTGTGCCGGAGTCCTCAATCGTTCAGCCTCTTCCGCCTGATAAAAGATAGCAAGATTGTCATCAAGGATGAGAAGAACACTTCACCCGACCAGACCGAGATGCGGTTCCCCATGGGCCCAGTGGAGGCCAGCATGGCCGGGCGGTACAGCTGTGTCTACCTTACTTCACAAGTCTGGTCTGACCACAGTGAAGAGCTGGAGCTGGTGGTAACCGCTGAGGAGGTCACCCAGGCCTCCGACCCCGACCCGGCTCTGCCCTCAGGTCTGTGTCAGGCCCATCCTAGGACCGCCCTCTGTCCCCGGCCTCCCCTCTCCCGCCTGGCCCCACAGCCTGGCCCTACTCCCTCGACATGCACGCATTGCCTCTGCCCTGTACCTGTGGGTCCTTCGAGCCCTGGTCTCCCCTGGGACCTGCACACAGCATGGCACTGGCCCTGTTGGCTGGGTGGGGCCCACCCGCTGCCAGGAAGCACGTGTTTTAGCTCAGGGTGGTGCAGTAAGCCGACCTTCCGACCGAGCCTTGGGGCCCCAGCACTCTGTCCCCCGCTGTGCCGCACCTCCACTGGGCAGGCTGGGTGCTCAAGGGAAGGCCCTTCCCCACGGCTGCCTGTTGCTTTGTGAGGTCTGAGCGGGAGCTAACATGTGAGGGGAGAGGAGGTGTGAGGGCAGAGGAGGTGTGAGGGGAGAGGTGTGAGGGGAGAGGTGTGAGGGGAGAGGAGGTGTGAGGGGAGAGGTGTGAGGGGAGAGGAGGTGTGAGGGCAGAGGAGGTGTGAGGGGAGAGGTGTGAGGGGAGAGGTGTGAGGGGAGAGGAGGTGTGAGGGGAGAGGTGTGAGGGGAGAGGAGGTGTGAGGGGAGAGGTGTGAGGGCAGAGGAGATGTGAGGGGAGAGGTGTGAGGGGAGAGGAGGTGTGAGGGGAGAGGTGTGAGGGCAGAGGAGATGTGAGGGAAGGAAGTATGAAGAGGAGAGAGGTTTGAGGAGGTGTGAGGAGGAAGGGAAGTGTGGGAGGAAGGGAGGTGTGGGAGGAAGGGAGGTGTGGGAGGAGACAGGTGTGGGGAGGACGTTCTTCCCCGAAGCTGAGCTCTCTCCTCATCCCTGTGCTGTGACTTGGGCTGCCCGGGGTCAGATGCACAGGGTCTGGGGTGTACAGACTGATTTACCCGCAGTCTGGGACCCCGGTAACCTGGGTGCCCACCTGGGTACCATGGCCCTGGGCGGGGCGGGCTTCCAGGATCCTAACCCTGTGGCCCCGTGGTGTTAGCCCGGGCCAGAGCCAGCCGGTCTGTGCCCATGGGCATGGCTGTTCTTAGGGAGCACAAAGCTGAGCCCATGGGAGCCAGGGCGGTCCTGTCCTGCCCGTGTGCCCCCTGTGCCTTCGCCTATAACAGGTGCAGAGCCAGAGCCCACGGGGCCTGGGGGTGCTGGGGCAGCAATGCAGGACAGACAGAGCGAGCTCAACTCTGAGCCCACGGCCAGCTCATCAGGCAGAGGTGTCAGCTTGAGTGTGCACGTCTGTGGGCAAGTGTCTGTGTGTGTGCCTGCCTGTGTATCTGTGTGTATGTGCTTGTGTGTGTATCTGTGTGTGTGTCTGTGTGTGTATCTGTGTGTATCTGTGTGTGCCTGCCTATGTATCTGTGTCTGCCTGGGGTGGGGGATGGGTGGCAGGTGAAGTGAACCTGGAGGTGCAGGGGCAGCCTTCACCCCAGAGCCAGGCCAGTGAGCTGGGAGCACATGACCTCACTGAGGGGAGCAGGGACTGTGCCTCCTGCAGCCGAGGGTGGACACCACCCAGCTGTGAAACCTCTGGGTCTTTGTCCCCCAGCCTCCCGTCGCCCCCTTTACCCCTGAACAGTCAGAGTCTGGTCCAAGGCAGCTGTGTGTGTTGCCCTGCCCTTGGGCTCAGGGGGGAGTGCGGGCAGGGACTCCCGATGAAGGGACAGTCCTGGGGAGGCCCTGGCATCCAGGAGCCGGCTGTGGAGGCAGCCCCACGCTGCCGGGAACGCTGTCAGGGGTGTGCCTGGGGGATCGGACTCTGGCCAAGCTCCTGTGCTGGGAGCTCGGGCTGGGCTGCATCCTGTCCACCGCTTGGTGACTGTCCCACATGACCTGCTCTTTTTCCAGTGCCTACGTTCCCGAAGCACACGGTATCGAACAGCATCCGCCTGGGCCTGGCCGGCGTGGTCTTGCTGATCCTGGCAGCCATTCTGGCAGAAGCTTGGTACAGCGAGCCCAAGTCGCAGTAGAGGTGTCCAGAGTGGACACTGGAGGGCGCCCTCCGGGGGGCTTGGACCCCGCAGCACTGGAGCCCAAAGGGGTGGGGGGACTGCTGGCAATGCAGCATTGCCAAGGGTGCCAGGAGAGGAGGCACCTGCCGAGTCCAGACAGAACACAGCAGCCCACACCCCAGCCTGCCCTCCGTGGGCACGCTGGGCTTCTGCCGCTCACTCCGAGGTGTGCGGGGCGGCCTCTACCCCTTGCCACAGCCCCTTGCCCACGCCTTGCTACAGATGGCCTCTCACCCCACCCCTCAGAGCGTCTGGCTGCTTCCCTCCCACGGGCGTCTTCCTGCCCTCCCCGCAGTGACTCTGCCCAGGTCTCTCTCTGCTCCCCCGCTCACGCGCCTCCTGCCGGAACGGGCCTCAGTGCAGGGCCGCCCGGAGGCTGGCAGCTGTTTCAGCCTCAGAACCGCGTGTCGCCGAAGGCTGGTTTCCTGTTTTGTCTGATGCGAGCAGCATCTTCCTTGCTGTCTCTGCTTCCCCTTTAGACCCCTGTCCTTAACGCCAAACCCCCTTCACAGTTTAACGCGATTATTAAAATGTCACGGTTCCTTCATTCCAGGCTTTTCTTGCTGTCTTATTATGATCTGATGACTATTTTGTTGCTGGTCATGATAACTTTTGATTCTTTTACGTTTTCTGTATTTGCTACACATTTTTCTCTTGTTTAATATTTATTTTTATTGGAAAGGCCGATCTACAGACGGGCTTGTTGGGAGAGCTGCCGTCCAGCGCCAGTGGCGGCAGGTTGGTGCCGGTAGCGGCCGGGGAGCTTGCTAGCTGGCTGGACTCCCTGGAGCGGCCACGTGGCTGCAGGTCACCGTGGGGCTGAGTGCCGCTACAGGCCAGAGGAGAGCCAGGGAGGAGATGGCGGGAGGAGCCCCAGCGTGTGAGGAAGCAGCCTGTTCGGCCCCTGCTCGCCGTGCCCTTGGCCGGTCTTGCTGGACATCGAATCGGCACTGGCTGTCTCAGGGCCAGATCGGGGAGTCAGCCGCCGGCCTGGGTCAGCTGCGGGAACAGTCTGCAGTGACCCACAGGCTCCAGAGTCTGCTTCTAGAACAGGGAAAAAAGACAGCTGCGCCAGGACTCGGACCGTACTCTGACGCCAGCCCTGGAGGCAGCGGTTTCACCTGCAGCCCCACCACGCGGGACCCTGGGGCAGGCTCCTGCTTCAACTTGAACAATTCTAACTTTTCTTGCAAGGCAACTCCAGGATGACAAGCTCTCACGCTTTTGTTTGGGAAGAAGTCTCATCTCTGTGTCTCCTCTGAAATCCTTGCCTTGTCTTTTTAGAGTTTGGTCAGAGTAGACTAAAAATCTTCTATCTGGAATTCCCCATGCCTCATGGATTGGACCGTTCAGCTGTCTCTCGGTAACATCTGGTCATGAGTCCCTTTTTAAAACACGTGAGGAAGAGCATGCTCCTTTTCTGGTTCACTCCCCAGGTGACTACCATACGACCAAGAAAACATCACCCAAAATATTGCTGAGTGAGACACGAAGAAGGACGGTGACCAGGAAGCCAGGCAGACAGTGAGGCAGAGCCGCTGACCCACTGGAGGCTCTACCATGTGGTTCCCTCCACTCGTGATTCTGCCTGCAGTGGGTGCCTCCCCTCACCACTCCCGAGGCCCCCGCCTGCCTGGTGCTGCCTCCTCCAGGGCCCACGGGCCTTCCTCTTCTACGACGGCTGACGTCCTGGCTGAGTTCCAGCCAGCGCCCCTGTTTGCTCAGGGTTGACGGCGCCCAGGTGTCCTCTGCCCCACAGCCTCACCTGCTCCCAGGGTACGGAGCACTCCCTGGCTGGCCTAGCTCCAGGGCAACCCATGCTCTCAGAACAGTCTAGAACCCTCCCATCCTTACACCTGCTCTCCCTGTCCTGCACAAACCCTGGCTAGTCCAGGTGAAAGCCAGGGGGCTGGAACTCAGGTGGGTTTCCCACGGGGGCGGGAGGGAGCAGGGTTAATGCCCTTGGACTATGCCCTGCTGCCTCCCAAGGTGCCAATTAGCAGGAGGCAGGATCAGAAGCAGAGAAGACAGGGCTCCCACCCAGGACCTGCAATGGGGGAGGCTGACGCCCACCGGGGCCAGCTGTGACAGGCCACAGCCTGGAGGGGGCATGTCACCTGCTATGGACAGTGAGCTGGGCGGCTCCTAGCAAGGGGGTCCCCCCACAGAGGGAGCCTCAGGGACAGGGCCTGGGAGCAAGGCCAGAGCTCCAAGCACAGGCCTGAGGAAGAGGCCAGCTGGACAGAGGAGGCCCAGGGCCCCCAGGCTCTGACCAAGGGCTCAGCGGATGCACTGACTCTGACCCTGAGCCCCAGCCTGGCAGGTGCCCACACAGCGGGGCCTCCTCCACGTTCAGGGTCTCCTGGGTCAGTGTCTGATGCAGTCTGTGAGGAGTTCACCATGTTTGTGTGTGCTGAAGGACAAGGCTCAAGATTCATTCTCTTTCTGACAATATTTAAAGAGTTAGAGTGAGGGAGAGATGCAGAGAGACCTGCCATCCCCTGGGTCACTCCCCACAGGCTGCCATGGGCAGGGCTGAGCAGGAGCTCCATCCGGGTCTCCCGGGGCAGGCTCAGGACTCAAGGCCCTGGACCATCTCCCGCAGGGACAGCTTTCCCAGGGCCTGGGCAGGGAGCTGGGCAGGAAGCGGCGCAGGTGACCTCCCAACCCACACATCCACGCTCCCTGGGGTCACATGGATTCCGGCCCCTCCCTCAGGCTCGGCCCTGCCCTGGGCCTGACCTCTGGTCTTGCAGCCCAGGAAAGGGAAGTGGCTGCCTCAGGACTCAGAGAACTGAGAAGCATCCGTGGGCAGCTTCCTGGGGCACAGCCCCCAACCCTCACTTCTCTCAGGGGCATCCCTGGGCCGGAGCAGGCAGGGTGGGGGAGAATGGCAGGGTGGGTGCAGGGGACAGCTGAGGCTCAGGCCTGGTCCTGAGTGACCCAGAGCCCACTCTGGCCTGTCCTGGTCTGTCCTGAGGTTGCAACCCACAGAGGTCAGGGCGTGCTTCCCCTTGCGTTAGGACTCAGATAAGGAACCCCTGTCTCTGCCACCACCCTCTCCTCCCTCCTCCCCAGACTCTAGGCCTGTGTCCTTGCAGCCGCTCTGCTCCTGGCACCATGGGCTGCAGCACGACCCAGGCCCTCACTGCCCTCCTCTGCCTTAGTGAGCTGGGGACACAGGACAGCAGGACCCACTGGGCCTTGGTGCCTGAGAGACCCCACGAAGGCAGGGGCTCAGGGTGGTCCCAGCTGTCCGCATGGCTCAGAGGCGCAGGGCAGGAGAGGCGTGGTGGACGCTCTTACGGGGACTTGTCTTGTAGGCTTTTTCTGGGGGTCCTGGGATGGTACACAGGTGGGTGAGTCCTCCCAGACTCAGGGTCTGGGACAGCTGGGGTTGGGGAACCTGGGACAGAGGTGGCAGGTGGGCTCCTTGGGACCCCGGGGACTGGCTGCACACACAGAGTCACAGCCCAAGCCCTTCTTCCCACTGTGTCTCTCCCCTTCCTCTCCCTCCTCCTCCTTCTCCCACACATACTTGTCCTTGTTCTGTCCCTGAGTGTAGCTTCCCTTTTGTTTGCCTGGCTCAGTGTCACACCCAGCATTAGGATGCTCTTAGAAGATGATGTGTGGGCCCAGCACAGTAGCCTAGCGGTGAAAGTCCTCTCCTTGGATGTGCCAGGATCCCTTATGGGCACCAGTTTGTATACCAGCTGATCCACTTCCCATCCAGCTCCCTGCCTGTGGTGTGGGTAAGCAGTTGAGGTCGGACCAAAGCCTTGAAACCCTGCACCCACATGGGAGACACAAAAAAAGCTCCTAGTTTCCGACTTCGGATCAGTTCTGCACCCATTCATAGCAGCCACCTGGGGAATGAACCAGCACATGGAAGATCTTTCTCTCTCTCTCCTGCTCTCTATAAATCTGACTTTCCAGTGCAAATATATAAATCCTTTAAAAACAAAAACAGAACAAGATGGTGATGTTGTGGTCCTAGACAGCTAGTTCAAGGTCACGGCTTGCACGCCCCTCCTCTCCCACGCAGGTGTCCTTGCTGCCCGTGGGACCCTCACCTACCGTCACCTGGAGCCTGAGAGGGGGCAGTATCCTGTTGCTGCGTGACCACGCCCCTCGCAAGCCCCCGGAGAGGCCCATGACAGGGAGGCGCTCTCTCTCTCTCTCTCTCTCTCTCTCTCTCTCTGTCTCTCAGCCACGTGTTTCTGTCATTCTCCCAGTCCAGCTCTGCTGCCCGGGGACGGACTCTGAGGACAGGGAGGCCCCGTGCATGGCCCCTGCGTGTCTGTGCTCCCCACCCTCTGCTCGCTGCTCGCGTTGGAATGCTAAGATGCGTTCTATCTCTAATTTGTATAATTTCAAGAGTTCCAGAGAAGTCCTCGCAGTAATGAAATGTGGACAGAGAATGTTTGCTGCTCTCTTAGTGTGTCCAGCTTGTTTGTTGAATGACTCTTAGAATAATTTGTGTTTCTGGGGAAGCTGGAACATGGATTCAGTGAAACAGACGATTTCCCAGAAATGACCATCTGTGCCTCTCAGGGATTCAGACTGGATTGTTGTAGAGATTCATTAATAGTGGAGATCTGCACCCCAAAAACCAGGACACAGTGCCCGAGGACTCAGAACCTCAACTGTTCTCAGCAGCCCGAGACCCTGCGCTAGGATCATGGATAAGCCTTGCCAACTACCCTGCCTGGGGAGGTGCGTGTCTGGGGAGGTGCGTGTCTGGGGAGGTGTGTCTGGGGAGGTGCGTGCCTGGGGAGGTGCGTGTCTGGGGAGGTGCGTGTCTGGGGAGGTGCGTGTCTGGGAGGTGCGTATCTGGGGAGGTGCGTGTCTGGGGAGGTGTGTATCTGGGGAGGTGCGTGTCTGGGGAGGTGTGTGTCTGGGAGGTGTGTATCTGGGGAGGTGCGTGTCTGGGGAGGTGCGTGTCTGGGGAGGTGCGTGTCTGGGGAGGTGCGTGTCTGGGGAGGTGCGTGTCTGGGGAGGTGTGTGTCTGGGAGGTGCGTATCTGGGGAGGTGCGTGTCTGGGGAGGTGTGTATCTGGGGAGGTGCGTGTCTGGGGAGGTGTGTGTCTGGGAGGTGTGTATCTGGGGAGGTGCGTGTCTGGGGAGGTGCGTGTCTGGGGAGGTGCGTGTCTGGGGAGGTGCGTGTCTGGGGAGGTGCGTGTCTGGGAGGTGTGTATCTGGGAGGTGCGTGTCTGGGGAGGTGTGTATCTGGGGAGGTGTGTGTCTGGGGAGGTGTGAGTCTGGGGAGGTGTGTCTGGGGAGGTGTGTGTCTGGGGAGGTGCGTGTCTGGGGAGGTGTGTATCTGGGGAGGTGTGTATCTGGGGAGGTGTGTGCCTGGGGAGGTGTGTATCTGGGGAGGTGCGTGTCTGGGGAGGTGTGTGTCTGGGGAGGTGCGTGTCTGGGAGGTGTGTATCTGGGGAGGTGCGTGTCTGGGGAGGTGTGTATCTGGGGAGGTGTGTGTCTGGGGAGGTGTGAGTCTGGGGAGGTGTGTCTGGGGAGGTGTGTGTCTGGGGAGGTGCGTGTCTGGGGAGGTGTGTATCTGGGGAGGTGTGTATCTGGGGAGGTGTGTGCCTGGGGAGGTGTGTATCTGGGGAGGTGCGTGCCTGGGGAGGTGCGTGTCAGGGAGGTGCGTGCCTGGGGAGGTGCGTGCCTGGGGAGGTGTGTATCTGGGGAGGTGGGGAGCAGGCTCCATCATCTCCCTCTTCCTTTAGTGACTGTGGCCTGGACAGATCTGAGTACAAAGTCCTGTTGGATTCCTTTTCGAGTTAGAGCGGTTTGTCTTCAGGTGCTGATTCCTGTAACTCCTGCTTACTGCCCGGCTGCTCCCCTGGTGCTGGTTTCCCTTAATCCCCTGTGATGTACTGTTGGAGTAGTTTGCATACCACTGTTCAGTTAACTCTTTTATCAACCTGCTTGTCCTGCAAAAAGCTTGTGTAAGAAGCCCAGAAAAACTCAATAAAATGTGCATTGGTCCATCTCGCCTTTGCATGCCCTGTGTCCTGCCTCGAGTCCCGGTCCCCCCAGAGGGACCAGCAGGAGATTGCCACAGTGACTTTTCATCGCTAATTAGTACTGGGCACTGCCATTGCCAGACGAGGTTGGTAAAGACTCCTTAATACATCCTAGACTTGTGATCTCTCCCTCACAACAGACGCATGTCTAACCCTTCTGGGCCGGGGAAGGGCCCTGGTCTCTTGGATCTGCCAGCAAAGCTCCACCACAGGGGAAGATCCTCTGGGCGGGGGGAGTTCAGGGTTCGCCTGCCCAGGGAGGATCAACGAGGGAGCTGGAGGACAGGAGAGAGAGCTCTTAGCTGTCGTGTCTGTGTGGAGGAGCCCCGGGGCCTGAGCGTCATGTAAGGCTTTGCTGCACAGCAAGGAGACCACGCCCATGGCCGGTCGGTGCAGGGGTGAGAGCGGACACCACTGCCCGCAAGTTGCAGAGTCCAGAGGCACCAACACCCCACACCACGATTTGTTAGAGAAATAATAAACAAACAAACAACAACAACAAAAACCACAGTGAGACTGCACTACAGACACACGAGGTTGGCCATGACTATGAGAAAAACAAAAGCTCAGAAGCAACCATGCCTTTCCAGCACGTGGAGGGGACAGGACCCTTCCACCATGCTGGAGGGAAGCTCAATGGTGCAGCTGCCGTGGATAACTGCAGGAAATCCTTGAGAAACTCGTCATTGACCTACCCCTGGCCTGGAATCCCACAGGAGATACTGAACATACTAGATTGTTCCGGAATGTTCTTGAGCTGTACAAATGGCCACAGTGAGGGAGAGTTGAAGAAAGGGAAGTTGTAAGACGTGGACCATGCAGGAGGTGACTCAGTCCTGAGGCCTCTCAGGGGAGACACCATGCTGGTCAAGGGTACAATGGACCATGAGAGGGGCTGTGGCAAAGTCAGGCCTCAACTACCCAGGCCATGCCGCCTACAGCAGCTCACACTCCACCACAAGTGACACAGCCAGAGGCCCCACCCAGAGCCCAGCTCCTGCGGGCACCATGAGCTTGACCCTGGTGTGGGAGTTGAACAGGAACAAGCTGAGACTTGACTGAAGGCCCCTGAGCTGTCCTTCGGGATGGCCAGTCCTGGGCCCGGCGGGGCTCACACAGTGAAAGGCAACGCCAGGAGAAGGGTGCAGATTCCCTGTGCTTCCCCATGCCTTCAGCTCTGGCTCCCCTTGCCCCTGCCCCAGGATGGCACTGCCTCCTGCTCCCTGGCAGCTGGGAGCCCAGAGCTGGGCCTCCAAACAGCCCTGCCCAGCACAGGGCCTCGCCCCATGTCTGGTTCTGCCCAGGCAAGACCCCAGAGTGAGACCCTCCCCGCCTCAGGCACTGCGCCATGGTGAGGGAATGTCCTGCTCAAGGCTGCCCTGGGTCAGTGCTGCCCCGTGTGAGATGATGGGCACCTGTGCCTTCCTCCAGGGAGAGCTTGTGTCCTGCACATGGGGACCAGGGAGCCTGGCAGAGCTGTGGGCAGGGAGTAGACGCAGGGAGGGGCAGCAGGAACTAAGAGCCTGTGATGGAGGGATGGGAGTGCTGTGGGGAGAGAGGAGGCTTGGGGTGACAGCCCCACACAGCCAGGGCCAGGGGGCTGCACTTCCCTCTGAGAGCCTGTGGCCATCACAGAATCACCTCCCATGCCTCCTTCACCGGGTCCTCTCCTCTGATGCCCATGGAGCCCACAGGGAGCAGGGCAGGCAGGGCACAGGCTGGGCTCCGCACTTGAATATTTCTCCCTGGGACTCACACCTCCACACACTCTGTTCTGGCTCACTCTCCTTGTGGCCCAAGCTGTACCTCCATGTCACAGCTCCCCTGCTCTGTCTGCCAAGGTCCCCTTCCCACACCACTGGCAAAGCCTCAGCCAGGCTGGTGCTATGGCATTCAGGGCATACAGGCCTTCCCTTCCTGGGGCAACAGATGTGTCTGCCGAGTATCAGCCAGCACTCTGGACCAGCACCTTCTTCTTCCAGGCCTGATGGTATCCGAGTGTCCCCTCCCCACAGTAGGTGCTGACCCCAAGCCACACCTGCTCCCACCTTCTGTGTAGGAATGCTCTACCCTGGGGCTGAGAGCCACTGGCTGGCATGACCTGGGAAGGTCCATGCTCGACTCACTGCCCCGTGCCCTCCTCTCCTCACACCTGCTCTGCATGTCTGTGTACTCTCCCTGTGACCTGAGCAGGATACCATCCTAGGACACCCCAGGGTGCCCTGTACAGGCCCTCCTGCACCTGCCACAGCACCTTCACCACATCTCTGTGGCGTCTGACCCTTCTGCCCATCCAGCTCCCAGAGCCCTGGAAGTGTCCATTTGCTCCCACACGGCTCTGGTCCCCAATCTCTAACATCAGGTCTGTCACAGCCCAGCGAAGGGAAAGGCCTGCTTCAGACTTTCCCACACTCTCAGGAGGAAGGGGCAGCCTCCCTGGCCCGTGCCCTGTGTGCCACTCCCAAATGGGGAACCTATGATGCTCTTCCCTCCACCCCCTCTCAGCCCTCCCTGCTGGGGCTCCAGGCCCTGTGTGCTCACAGCCGCTCTGCTCCCGGGACCATGGGTGTTGACACCAAGACCCCAGCCCTCATCAGCCTCCTCTGCCTCGGTGAGCTGGGGACATGGGACAGTAGGAAGGCAGGGGCTCAGGGACGGCCACAGCTCCACCACACAGCTCAGAGGCACAAGGTGCAGAGTAGGCCGGCTGCCAGCAAGTGGGGACAAGCTGTCACAGGACCTCTCTTGCAGGGCTGTGCTGGGGACCTTGGGACGAGGCACAGGCACAGGCAGGTGAGTGCTCCCAGCCCTGATCCTGGGCCAGCTGGGGTTGGGGAGGCCAGGACAGGGTCTGTGCTGGTGGTGACAGGCAGGCAGCCTGAGCTGAGCTGGGAACTGAGGGGAGTGCTGAGGGCAGCACCAGCATCTCCAGCTCTGACTCCCTTCCAGGGACCTTCCCAAAACCCTCCATCTGGGCCAAGCCAGGCCCTGTGGTTGCCATGGGAAGCTCTGTGACCATCTGGTGCCAGGCGACTCGTCAGGCTGAGGTCTACCGCCTGTATAAAGATGGTGCATTTCTCGAGGAAACATGGGCCCAGCAGGACTCCACTCACAGGGCCGGCTTCCTCATTGGGCCAGCAAACTCATACAGCGCAGGGCAGTACCACTGTGACTATCAGGCCTCATTTCGCATCTCCCAAGCAAGTGACATCCTGATTGTGGTGGTGACAGGTGAGAGGGGTTCCCAACCACAGGGGCTCCACCTCACAGCAGGGAAACCAGCATGGGCTCCAGGGACCCCACACCCTGTGGAACATGGCTGGGGTGCAGGGCTGCCAGTGCCCCTGTATCAAGGCTCTGCCCTCCCCTCAGGGTTGTACAGAGCACCCTCCCTGTCAGCGCAGCCAAGCCCCGTGGTGGCCCTGGGAGGCACCGTGTCCCTCTCCTGCAGCTCAGACTATTCGTCAGACCTGTTCTATCTGCTGAAGGAGAGAGGAGCCGGCCCCATCCACAGACAGGACTCCAGTTACCTGAATGGGACACGCACATGGCAGGCCACCTTCCGTGTGGGGCCTGTGAACAGCACCCACGGGGGCATCTACAGGTGCTATAGGTCGCCTTACTCCACCCCTCTTTTGTGGTCACTGGCCAACAGCCCCCTGGAGCTCCAGGTCACAGGTGAATGAACCCACAGTGATCCCCACCAGGGCACAGAGAGGAAGAGGGTGGGTGCTGTGTGACCCCTGACCTATACGTCAGGTGCAAAGGCAGCAGACCTTGCTGGCCCTGGGCACCGAGAGCTCTATGTCCCCTTAACACTGGTTCCTCTCTCCCAGGGGTGCTCAGGGAGCCGTCCCTGTCGGCCCACCCAGCCTCGCTGCTGCTCGCAGGACAGAGCCTGACCCTGCGGTGTCACTGCGAACCGGGCTGTGAGAGATTTGCACTGACTCACGACAAGGGGCACACAGCTCCCCGACAGCGCCTGGTGGGGCAGCGCAGCCCTGACTTCCCCCTGGGCCCTGTGTACATATTCCACCGTGGCCGGTACAGGTGCTACAGTAGTCAGCAGGACTCCTCAGTGTGGTCAGCCCCCAGCTCCCCGCTGGACATCCTGGTTGCAGGTGGGGAGCCCCTGCTCATCCCTGGTCCATCACACCAAGCCTGGTCCAGGCCACACCCTGGGAAATGCAAGCCCAGAACTGGGCCAGGTGGAGCTCTGGTCCTGGCAGAGGGACTCCCAGGACACACCCTGCACTGAGGGAGGAGGTCCCTGAGCAGAGGGCCCAGAAGGATCGAGGGCTCCCTATTACCACTGTCTTCTCTCCTCCAGGAACGTTCCAGAAACCATGGCTGCAGGCACAGCTGGGGCCCTCGGTGCCACAAGGAGCTGCCCTGGCCCTGCGCTGTGGCTCTGATGAGGCCTTGGACACCTTCCTCCTGCACAGGGAGGGCTCAGACACTCCTCCCCAGCGCCTGCGTGTGCAGGGCACGGCCACGCCTGCCCAGGTCACCTTCACACTGAGCCCTGTCACCTCAGCCCATGAGGGCACCTACAGGTGCTATGGCTCCCACAGCAGTGACCCCTACCTGTGGTCGCACCCCAGTGACCCCCTGCAGCTCGAGGTGTCAGGTGAGGCCCAGCCCAGTGTGCCCTGTCCTCTGGCTCAGTATTTTGGTAGCTTGGGGAGAGGTTCACCTGTAGGGTCAGCAGAGGTCACAGCTCTATCAGGTGCAGCACCAGGTTGCCCAGCCTGCTGCCCCTCCTGCCACCATCCTGAGCCCAGGAAGGTTAAACTCGGGGCTGAGCCCAGGGCTGAGGCCACAGACCAGATCCTGTTGCAGCCCTCCCACTGAGCACCCAAGAGCAGGGAGCTGCTGTCACCTCGAGCCCCAGGCCAGGCTCACCCTCAGTGACACTGGGGTGCAGCTGGTGGGACCCAGTCTCCTAGAGGCCCAGTGGCTGAAGGGGTTTGAGCCTGCTCACTGCAAAGAGTGGTGCTGGGGCCTAGCCTGGGGGAGGAGACCCCTGCAGGTTTAGGGCCAGGACCACCTCAAGCCTCCTGCCTTGTGCCCATCCATGAGGCCATGAGGAGCCACTGCTCAGTGCCACAGAATCAGCCCCCAGAGTGGTGACTGGGGGCTCTGCTGGGTGGTGATGGAGGGGCTCCCAGGATGGTCTGCGCTCACTCCTCCCTCATGTGGAAGTGCCCATCTGTTTCCTGGCCCCTCTCTCCACTGCAGATGGGATCAGCCACTAGGGTGAGCTCAGAAATGACCCGGTAAGTCCTCCTATGGCACCCGGGCAGCAGCTCAGCACACAATGGCAGCCAGGTGGTTACCCGGGTTGGGGTGGTACTAGAGGCAGTAGACACTGGGTTTTGTGAACCCACCTCTGGGGTTTCTACCCTGGGTGTGGAGTAACCATGTACACGCAGACACCCAGGCTTGATGGCCACCAGCCCTGCCTCACCACCTCAGGAGGCCACCCCAGGCCTGTGTCAGCCTGTCCTGGGTCACCACAGCACTTGGTCACCCCAGCCCTTGGACACGCATCCTCTCTAGTACGACGGTGCTGACTCCTCTGGGCCAGAATGCCTGACGTGGGTGACAGCTGAGCAGGGGTGGCGCCTGGACGATGGGTTAGCAGGGGTGTCCTGGTGTGGGTGACAGTGAGGGCAGGAGGTGGCCTGGTGCCCAGCAGGTGCTCAAAGAAACAGTGCTTGTGTGGGATGATGTATTTTTTGGGGTGTGGGGTACACAGACACACACACACCCTCTCCTGTCTTACTGAGAGAATCCGTGTCAGCAGGACCAGGCTGAGTCCTCCCTGGGTGCTGTCCCCTCACCCCTGGGGAACCTGCAGGTGGGTGCTCCCAACTGCCCCACCTGTGACAGTTCTCAGTGAGGTCCTGGGTCCCTGTATGTCCTCTACAGGCAAAACTCGATTGATTATTGGAAAGGCAGAGTTAACTGAAGCAGAGAGATGTTCCTTCTGCAGGGTCACTCCCAAATGGCCGCTGAGGCTGAGGCTGGGCCGTGTCGAAGCCAGGAGCCCATAGGGTGTTACGCGTGCAGTGGCCCATTAGCAGGGACCAGAATTGGACGTGGAGCGAGCAGGACTTGAACTGGCACTCCAGGAGGCTGTCGCTGTCAGAGGCGGCAGCCTCACCCACTATGCCACAACCACGACCCCATTGAGCCGACAAGGAGCAGTTGGCACCAGAACAGAGGCTGGCCTGGGGCACCACGTCCACCGCACGGGAAGCTACTGTAGACACTCTCCTGCCGTTTCTCTCCCATTGCTCTCTGATTTAACACGGAATTCACACCCATGGCAGACAAGGGGGGTTTCACGTCACCACGTCCACGTGCGTTGCCCCTTTGTCTCCTTTGCGATGGGACACGTCGGCAGCTTACACACTCGGTGTCCGAGCCGTCTGAGTGCCGTGTCTGTGTTGACCACACCAGGAGACATGCGCTGACCTCACTAGACCTTCCCCCATGCTTCCCCTTGCCCACTGTGCACTGCTTCTCACGCACACGTGCACTTTGTGTCCCATGTGGCCACGGCAGCACGGGGTCACCGTGTGTGCGTGTGTCCCGTTGCGGTGCCTCTAAGCACAGGAAGGATCAGTGGCTCAGAGATCAAGGGAGGTGGAGAGATGGGCGCTGTGGTGTAGGGGGTCAAGCTGCTGCCTGCACAGCGCCATGCCATGTGGGTGACGGCCCAGGCCAGGGTTCCACTTGTGCTGCAGCTCCCTGCTAAGGAGCCTGGGAAAGCACGTAGTATGGCCCTAGTACCTGGGCCCCGCAGCCACGTGGGAGACCCTGACGCAGCTCCTGGCTTCTGGTTTTGTTCTGCTGTGGCCATGGCTGTTGTGGTCACTGGGGAGGAAATAGCAGATGCAAATGCATTTTCTCTCAATTTCTTAGACTGTAACTCTGTCATTCACATAAATTCACAATGAAAAAAAAAACCAGAAAGCGTGAGGTGGAGCAGAAGTTGCACCATCTTGGTGTGGGGCACCTCTCTGTGCTCCTGCCACTGAGCAGCAACTCTCCTCACCGTGGCCATGGGCCCTCTCCTGGCGCTGGGTCAGCCTAGTGCTCCTAGGGGGAGGACTTTGGGATCATCCACTCACCATCCCCTCCCCCTCCTTAGGAGCAGCCCAGCCCAGCAGCCCCTCACCCCTTGGCTTCAGGGCTCAGGCTGCTGCAGGGAGGGCCGTCCCAACTCACCCCTCTCTCCTCCTGCAGCCCCCCAGCCCCAGGACCACACCCTGGAGAATCTCATCCGCTTGGGCGTGGCGGGCTTGGTCCTGCTGCTGCTCGGGCTTCTGCTGCTGGAGGCTTGGCTCAGCGCGAGGAGGACCCGGGGCACAGCAGCAGGTCACCCCGGGAGAGGACAGCACTGAACTCAGGGAGACTGTGACCACCAACCACCGCTGGATCTGATGATGTGCTGTCCCAGAGGGGCTTTGGTTTGACGCTGAGGAACCCACCCAGAGACTGTTCCCTGGGGGTGTTATGGCCCAATCCATGGCTCAGGCGTGGGAAGGTGCCCAGGGTAGCCAAGGAGGACTCCTCCCACTGACCTGTGGTCCTCTCCTGCCCTGAGCTGGGTGGCCCTTCCTTCCTGCCCCTCTCAGGTGGGAGAGCACCCCCTGCAGGCCGCCTGTGGAGCAGCACAGCCTGCCCCAGGCTGGGCTCTGGGCTCACAAAGTGTCCTGCTCTGGAATGCCCACACTCCCCAGGCTGTGTTCACCAGCTTCCGTGTTGTCACACAGAACGGGCATCTGGGTTCAGAGAACAGAATAAAGGAGCACATCCGGGTCTCAGGCTGGAACGATACATCCCACTGCACGCTGCTGCCCACTGGCTCCCTCGAGTCCTCTCTCTGTGTGGACGCTGTGGCGTCCCCAGGATCCTCCTGGATCAGGGCCCTGTGGCTGCAGGGCTGGTCGCTGGCGGCTCTCTTTGCTTGTCTCTCTGAGAAGGAAGGCGTCATGCTGGCAAGCCCAGTCTGCGTGGGTGCATTGGTTGGCACCAGACATCACGGCCAGTCACAGGTGCCCATGGGAGGAGTCAGATGCAGAACCCAGAAAAGATATGAAGAGCTGCCTTCACAGGGGTGGGGCAGCCAGGGTCCACCTGTCCCTCCCTGCCCGACAGCGTCCACAGTGCCCCACTGTGTGGAGGCAGTCATTGCTTGTTTCTAAGTGTGACCAACGCCAGCAGCACAGCCTGACGCCCACGCAGGAGCCAACTGACAGCTCCCTGTGCCCCGAGAGCCCTGGCTGAGCCCAGCAGATTCACTGCTCTGCACCCCCAGGTCAGCAAGGACCCGGAACCCTCCTCCATGCAGGGCCCTGCGGGGACCTTGGCGTGCATGAGCTGCCCACAGCACACTGAGCTAGGACCCTGGTCAGCAGGACCGCACACACACCAGCAGGACATTGGGGAACTTGGGCACCTGTGGTTCTGTCTGTGTGGCCACAGCTCTTATCTCTATATTTAATAAGAAAACAAGAGATGTGTCACTGCCGAGTGAGAG